TTAAACTGCCCTTACTATCTTCCCAATATACGAATTAGAGCTAAGTTCGGTAATTAGACTTTAGTCGATAGAGTTCTAAAAGATAGTCTCTTCGATACGTATAGTAAGTAAGAATATATAGGTCTATAGGGAAAGGAGTATACGCGAGATTACGATTTTAATCGCGAGTAATAGAACGATTACGCTATTTAGTTATATTAGCGAGCGTAGGCAGCTCAAAAAGAGGGACTCTTTTATTTTGAGATTATCTTAGTATAGCTCTCTAGTGTATATAGGAAGCCTAGCGTAATAGTAGACAAGGACGACGAGCCCAAGAACCTAAACGTCGATAAGCTACGATTAATCAAGCCTACCTTTATTCCTGAGATAGGCATAGTAATAGCTCCTAACGCCTCCCCTTTAAGCGACGGAGGCGCCGTCGTTATGCTGGCCTCGAAGGCCAAGCTTAAGAAGCTAAATACTAAACCACTAGCAAAGATCTTAGGCTAGAGAGATACTACACAATAGTTTAGTAAATTCATAATAGCGCTAGCTCTCGCTATTCCCAAGGCTCTAAAGTATACCGATATTAGCCAAGATCAGGTCGATTTCTTCGAAGTTAATAAGTATTTAGCGTAGTGGCCCTTACTAATATAAAGATTTTAGGTTTAAGTGCGGATAAGGTTAATATATACGGAGATACTATAGCAATTAGTTACCCTCTCGGTATATCTAGTGCGAGGATTGTTACAACTTTGCTCGGAGTCCTTAAAGCTAAGAAAGGTAAGATTAGATACGTAGGTATCTACAATAGTGGAGGTAGAGCCAGCGCTCTAGTTATCGAATCGTTAATATAAAGCGAAAACCATGGAGCCCGGGGAAGTTCATCGGTAGAGGGGTTTAGGTGCAAAAAGGCGTATTAAACGCGTTAGTTCAGGCACGTCCGCCTAGTGCTACTATATACTCATATAAGCTTAGCGTACCCACTATAGATCAAAATATCGATATATATAAATACTTAAATAAGCCGCTCCTCGACATATTCTTAACCGAACGAGGCTAGAAACCTAGAAACGTTAGAGCAGAAACTACGGAGAAGTTAGATATATAGCACACCTCCGTAGCTACCCCTAGCCATTCATTTACCGACTATAACCTCCTTCTAAGTCTTGTAGTCGCTTTCGTGGATGGAAGCTTCAAGATTCTATAGAGCTTATACGACGTTCCTAGCCGTTCTTAGCTTAGGTAGATATATTAAAGCCTCCGTAATATCGATCCTATCGCTATACCGTAGTTGGAAGGTGCTTATTAGAAAGACGACTTCAAGGAGATAGATACTTGATTTTTATAGAGGAACTTCGCCCCGTTACCGGAATATATGCATATAGAGATATAGAGCTTGACAAGAATTACGATACATAGAAATATCGGTATCTACTTAAGGTCGTTCTTAAGTTATAAGATCGGCTTATCCTTTCAAAAGCTCGCCTTTTCTCCTCACTAATCCTAGGCTCAATATCTAAGATATACCGTAGGCAGTTATAAAGCTCATTGGTACGTCTATACTCGGTCTTCTAGCGGTATAGCTAGTGGCACTCGCCGTACCTAGCCATAACGTAAGTAGTCTAAGGATTATCGAACATCCTAACCTAGAGAAGCGAGCACTCCTACAAAATTTAGTACGCCGGCCTTTAATAGTAGCTAGTATCGAGTACTGATTTAGCTAGGTAACATAGGATCAGATATCTCTGTTCGTCCGTGAGGAGCGGATCATGATATGGAGTGGCGAAGTCCACCCATTCCGGTGCGGTATACGTTGCGAGTACAATATACCTTTATGACTGATTCACCTTCGTCTTCTGTAGGCTTCCGGTACCGTCCTTATAGTTGCACAATGAGCGCAAAGCCAGAAAAAGATGTCCAGGAGCTGGATAGTCCAGACCTTGACGGTGAGAGTGACGAGAAGCATCATGGCATTGCCGATTCGGAGATCGATGCCATGGAGGCCTCCGTACCGTCGAGCTCGGCCTAGCTCCTTCGCAGGTCATCGTCGAACTCGACCAGAAGGAGCAAACTAGGATCTTGAGAAAGGTCGATTACCGCTTGGTGCCTCTTCTAGCACTGCTGTACCTGTAGGTCAATCGCAGCCGATATGATGGACGCCCTTGCTCATGCTATCGACAGGGTCGCCTTCATTGATCGAGGAAACATTGGAAACGCCAAAATCGCAGGGCTGTATGACGACCTCCAC